ATGTGTATATGTGTATATATATATGTGTATATATGTATATATGTATATGTATATATGTATGTATATGTATATATGTGTATATATGTATATATGTGTATATATGTATATATGTGTATATATACACCACAGCGTGGTGCACCCATAATTTAATTGTACATGTACAATGACAATAAAGAGCAATTCGTTTCTATTCAAATTAAATAAGTTGATTGAAGCTAATGAAATAAAAACATGGATGTACTGTAGTTAGTTACTGTGCATATGGTTTTTTTTCTACCTGTAGGCTAGGAAAAAAAGAAGTTTAGTTTAACAGGAGCCCTTACTGTTAGCTGATGATATAAATTTGATGTAATGGACCTAAGAGCTGTGGAGTCCACTTAGAGCATCCCAAACTGTCGTCAGTTCTAAGTCTCAGTTCTCTCTAGCCCTCAGCACAGGCTGGTGCATTGAAAGACTCTTGAAATATCATTATTTTACAGACATACATAATGTCCCCTCGGTAGCAAAGATAGTGAAACGCCAGCAGAGTGGAGCCAGATTAAAGGAAGTGGAGTGAAATTCATCAGGCTCGAGAAAAAGCAGTAGGGCTATTCTTTGAAAGGGCCATGAGCAGAGTGTAGAGTCCTGACAGACCACAGGCCTTAATGAAATTCATCGCAATTTATTCTGACTTGGCATTAAATTGGGGAAAAGGCATGTCCGTGTAAGTTGCTAAAAGTTAGTTGTAGTGTGGGAAGTTTTAATGATTATTGTGAAGTGTGTGCATGTGTGTGTGTGTGTGTAATGGCACAATTGTGGGTCTGTCTTTTTCTCTTGATGTGTGTGGAATGAATTTGTAAGCTAATGCATGTGTGTGCCAAGGATTTTGAGGATTTATCTTTCTGTTTTTTGTTTTTCTTAACTGGATCTCTCTGTCTCAACCATAAAACCTCAAAAATTCCAGGTACACCCATCTTAACAATGCGTTGTTTAAGACAACTAATCTGAAGTACAATGAGCTTGGATATTGAGCTTTTTGAATAAATGTTTAGTGAGTATTTTCTAATAATAAACATGTATTTTTACAATAATTATGTTTCACACATTTTTAAATAAACCGTTTATAAAGCTCAACTTTGACTAAGTTGTTTTTAGGGAGATAAAAAATAGCCCCTTACTATTTTATGTACCCAGTGGAGCTGGGGTAAAATGAGTACATTCCTGTTTTGGAGGAGAATCAATCACCAAACTGCTCGTTATGCAACGTTAAGACTGATGCCAGATTTTTTACACTAGTTGTAAGTTTGCCAGCGCGATAAAAACAAAATCTGGAATGGAAACAGAGTCAAAACCTACCCTTGTTTCTGTGTCTAGAAAAGAAAGGAGCAGCATCGATACCTGTCAATGACTTGAAGGTCATTCTGAATCTGGCCAGGGATAATTATCTGAAGAAGGCTGACTCCACTCTGCCGACTGCTGCTGCCTGTCTGACAGACAATCAGCCCTCAAAAAGCTCAGGTATGTACTAAGAAAACAAGACAATATTGTGTTTGGGTTTTTTTTCCGCTCTCTGCACAGCTATAGTGTGCTGGTCAAGTTTTCTTATATGCGCACAATTAAACACATACAGTACAATGCACATGCCACTTCTTCTACACCATCCCCTCATGTGAAATTCTCTGTTTGAATGCAGCTTCAGTGATAAATATAGCTCGAGTTTGCTGAGCCGGTGTTAACACTCGTAGAAGGAACAACACTGATGCTGGTTCAAACATTTGCTATAATGGCACGAACTGTTCCTCAGAGATCATCAATATTCACTACATGTGCTTTTATAAGACGACGTTTCTCGGAAATAACACAAGCTGATAATTTGCAAATAAAGTGTTAGCAATAAAGCAAATCCTAGCTTGCAGCTACAGCTACGTGCGCACAGCGCTGGTTTTAAATATATAGCTGTGGGGCTAATAGAGCCACATGTGAAGCAGTTTTTAGGTCATAAGTGCAGCAATATTATTTTGGAATTATGTTTACTGTCTCTGCACAGCATCTTTTTATTATTAGATTTTATCTTTATCCATAATTGTACATTAACTCATTAAGCTAAATATCAATTGCAGCAGAACTGCCACTACTTCATTAAAACAGCATGGCCTTCATATTAAAGTGTATTTTCTGAATTTGATATTCTACCATATATTTCACTTTAGTGCGGGTTGGGGAACTCTAGGCCTCAAGGACTGTGTCCTGCAGGTTTTAGATATCACCTGGCTCAACACACCTGAATCAAATGATTAGTTCATTACCAGGCCTCTGGAGTACTTCAAGACATGCTAACGATGTAATTTAGCCATTTAAATCAGCTGTGTTGGATCAAGGACACATTTAAAACCTGGACACCGCCCCTTGAGGAGTTCCCCCACCCCTGCTTTAGTGGTCCTGGGCACTGCACAGACATAATCTTGAATTTTGTTAAGTGGAACCAGGAAGGTTCAGAATCACAAGAGACGATATGGTGGTGGTGTAGACAGTCTTAAGTGCAAATCACTCTGTTTTGCTTGTGATCCTTCTTTTTTTGGGGATAGGAATGTCTTTTCCTGCAATCCATTAGATACGTCTGCTCTGTTTGTGTGTCTACATCGCCTAAAGGAGTGAATGACTTTGTGTGGGCTGTCAAAGTGCTAGCAGAAGTTTTAGGTTTATACATACAACAGACTTAGGCTATCACTTTGCATGAAACACCCGTGTCTCTTCAGAGAACCTGCTGTATCCACATGTATCACATTTCTGTCTGTCTTGATATAACATGCAGCCCTGTCCGCACAGAAAAAAAGCTGAGCTGCTTTTATTTTGGATCCTCAGAACTGATCTGTTCCGAGACCCGACTGCCAAGAGTTTAGTGTGTTAACTAGCATCGAATGAAAGTTTACTTATCATGTGCAGTCCATTGTGTATTTAGTGACAAAGGGCACTGTAGGATTATTTATTAATGTTGTAAAAGATGATGATTTTGGAGAACGCTTATGTTATGTAGTTAGTTCATCTAATATACCCTTTATTGGGTTAATGCAAACATCTAATCAGTGGCAGCAATTCACTGCAGTCATGCACTAAACAAAACATACAGGTCAAGATAACCTGCTGACGTTTAAACTGAGCATCAGAATGAGTGGGAAAGGTGATTTAAGTGACTTTGAAAGCGGTATTAGTTGGTGTCCGAGTATTTCTGAAACTGCTGATCTGCTTGGATTTTCCAACACAAACATTTGCATCATGTATGTGTAGCTGATAAACTTGCAGTAACTGTCTGGTCTGTGAGGAACGTTTCCAGCACCTTGTTGAATCTATGCCATGAAGAATTAAAGCATTTCTGAAAGCTAAAGGCAGTCCAACCCCATACTAATACCTGATAAAGTGGCTGGTGAGTGTATAAAGCCGCCTGTGTAATGTTACTGATTTGTTTTTTCCTGCAATGCCAACTTTATTCTCTATTAGGAGCAGTGAATGCTCATTCATCAACATTTGAAAGTGATGGATAACGCCTGCTTCTTACTACTGTGTGCTCTCACTTCTGGTTTGAGCAGAGACAAACACTTCTATAGCATCTGATTCCAAGTCTAACAGCTGACCTCTATTCAAATCTTGCTGGTAAAGTAGGAGGAGAGTGTACCTTTGTGTCCATTATTGTGTGCCATAAAACCACTCTTAAAAATAATCTTAAAACGCCTCCCTAATGATGGATGTTTTCAATTGAATTGATGTAAACAGGATGGCTTGTTGTGTTCATTTTAGGTTTTCAGATCATTTCTCAGCTGCCGTCTGACTGGCCTGAGAGAAGTGTCCTGCACAATGTGGAAAACTTGCAGAAGAGACGCCAGAAGAGAAGGTATAAGGGATGGGATCTCTGTATATGGCTCACTCTGAACCAGGGATGGGCAATTCCAGGCCCCGAGGGCCGGTGTCCTGCAGGTTTTAGATCTCACCTTGACTAAACACCTGAATCACATGATTAGTTCGTTACCAGGCCTCTGGAGAACTGCAGGAGCTAATTTAGCCATTTAAATCAGCTGTGTTGGTTCAAGGACACATCTAAAATCTGCAGGGACACCGGCCCTCGAGGCCTGGAGTTGCCCACCCCTGCTCTAAACTGTTAAAATGTCTGATCTTCTCATTTTATTATGTTCTGTTGACTGTGCCTTAGATTTGGTCTGTTAGGTCCAGGCTCTAGTGACAGTCTGCTGGGTCCTAAAGATGGCCAGAGAGGCTCTTCTACTTTACTTGATGCCAAAGAACTTCTGAAACACTTCACGTCTGATGGTCTGCCTGTGGGGGAGCTACAGCCACTGGCCATTAACAGAGGGTGGGATCATTTTTCAGATTTCAAGTAGCACGTCACCAGTTTCACTGCACTAAGCTGTTAAATTCATAAATATGAACACACTATAGTTTTGTTTTTTTTTTCTTTGGCAGATTTTCAGATTTACAGCTGAAACACATACACACACTGTAGCCTGGCATCATCATCCAGTTATATGTATTTATTCCTGGGATGGATCTACATGACACACACTAAACGAAGCCATAATTAGGATTTGATTATAATCATTAACCTTCTACAGTGAGCTTACAACCCTTGGAGGAAGATTATTGAGCTGAATCAAAAAATACTGGAGCAGTAATGAGTTAGTGTTAATAAAGGCTGTGTCAGACCAAGCTCTGTGTGTAGAGAGGCAGACTTGTTCATGTGGTTTAATGAAGACGATATTAAATTGAGAAGCAAGACAAATAACAGTTTCTCTCTTTTTGTCTTTCTGACTATGCCTCGCATTCATGCTCTTTGCTTTGTTTTTCCAGTAACAATGCCTTCCAGTTGTCACAAGACCTTTCTCCCAGGAGAGTCAGCAAACTGCCTTTCAGCAAAGCCTCAGCCTCCCATTATCACGGCATAGAGTACGTTTCTCTAAAGTATATTGACTGTTCAGCTATTTTAAAACTGTGAACGCTTCTTTTTATGAGATTTACTTTTTATAAATAATTTTTTTTCTTTGTGTAGGTTCTGTCTGGATAACCAGCGGTCTTTAGATCGAGACCAGGCCTTTGTACGGCTCCAATCTCGTCTGATTCGTTATGAGACCCAAACCACCTGCTCCAAGGAACCGTGCGCCCTCCCCTTTGCCCTCAGCCCCGCTCCCTCACCAGCTGTGATGTCAGAACCAGGAAGCGTGCCCGATGGCGAGACTCTGCAGAACAATGATGTAGCACGACTCAAGCGCAGGTCCTGGGAAGCAGACATTGTTGGAGGCTATCCTCACAAGAGGTATGATGATATACATGTCTCTCCTGGTTTGCAGCTACGTGGTGATATTATAAAAAAAGGATGGATGGCGAGGAGCTTTAAAGAGTTTTTATCCATCTGTCTGATTGATCCAGGCTGGCAAAGTCCGAGAGCAGTGACTCCCTCTGTTCTCAGAGTAGCAGCAGCAGCGGGACACATCCTGCCATTAGGTCTCTACGACGACAACCAAGCAGGTTGCAGTCCACCTCCTCTGTAAACAGTTCCTCCTCTTCAGCCACAAGACCGACATCAGGTAAAGTGAAAAAAGTGACTCTCGCTTGGGAGGGAACACTTGGGACTGTGTTAGGATCGGATAAGTCGCTTAAATTAACATTCAGTGTCGCCTACTAATCGGAAGGTCGGTGGTTCGATCTCTGGCTTCTCTAACCTGTGTGCTTTTTCCAGTTTTCTTGGCCAAGATCCTGAACCCTGAGTTGTGTTTAAATATGCTTAGCTATAGAAAAAAAGCACTTGTATGAAGGAGACTAACAAGAAAACACTTTGAGTTGAAAAGTGTTATATAAGTACCAGTCCATTTATGTTAAAATTAGCAGTGTTGTTCTTGCTCATGGAAAGAAGATCCGGCTAAAAGTGACCACACCAGTAAAAGATCTTAACTTTTTAGATCTAATGTTATCTAAGACGTATTGGCCCAGCAAACTTGCATGGCTGTTTAAATTTTTTCTAACCTGTGCTTTGGTTACTGTTGGATAATGTTATTGTGGGAATTACACATAGCTGTAAACGTGGGTTAATGTGGTTGGACTCTAGCAAATTAATAGAATCAGTTTATTTACTGTGCTGTATGGTAGCACTTCATCTTTATTATCTGTGTGCATACTTGTTTCTTTCATTAACTTTATAGCTTTCTATTTTATAATTAGGTTTTGTTTATATTTCTTTTTTTTCTTTTCTTTTTTTCATTTGATTTCATTGTTCGAAAATGTTAAGTTTTAGTGTAGTTTTTGATAGTTTGTGTTAATTTTAGTTTTTGTAATTATTATTTAAGTTATTATGTTTTATTAGTATGCGAAGGGCATACATCAGGAACATCAGTACAGGTGATACAATAAAAACACAGAGGTTCTTAAAAGCAGTTGACTCAGTGTTGTAGACGTTCAAGGTTTTAATAAACACATCCATCAATGCCTCATCAGGTAAGCTGTAATAAAGGTTTTAGTAAACTAAGAGATACCAAAACTAAGGATATTTCCTGTATATTTTTATTTTCTTTAGGTTCACAAAATCGCTTATTAATTTAAATTTTTTCTTCATAAGTCAAATTTTCTTTGTAGTTAATTAAATAATTTTTTTAAACATTTAGTTTAAGTTAACTATATTGGTTCAACAGGTTCCTATACCTGTTGTTCTTTGTTATTGACTTATTTCCTCTATTTTATTTTCACTATTTGACTTTTACTGTGTTGACTTTAGTGCCTTGTTGTTTAATAATTTCTCTTATTTGCACTTCTTTTCAGGCTTGGCGACTCTCGCTTGTGTTGACAGACCTAAATGTCAACAGCAGAAGACGCATCAAGGACACAGCGAGGACAAACTTGCCAAAGAGTCACGCTCCCAGAAACATAACAGGGTGAGAGCATTTGTGTATCTCATTTTTATTCTATAAAACAATAAAATATATATTTACTTTTACATTTTTTAAACTGAATATTTCTTAAAGCATTTGTGCTAATAATGATGACAAAAAAACAATGTAACCCAGACAGAAAATGTAACCATAGACTCGGTTGTTTGTGCATTTCAAGTCTGCTGCCAACTTTTAATGAGCAGAACTTACCTTAATAAGCCGCAATTTTCCTGTAATATCGACTCATTTAGCAATAAACCCATTTTTTTACTTGTACAAAAATCTTAAGTAAATATGCAATTCGCCTAATTGCCACCTGGCCTACACAGATGGTGATAGATAAACACACGACGAACTGGGAGAGTTTTTCCATTACAGAGGAGAACTGTGCAGCAGCTCTAGCAAAGATAAATGTGTAATATTTTCCATGCAATCATTGTGAATGTGTGGGCTGCATCACAATGTTGCAGCAGAACCACTTTAACAACAATACTGTTATCGTATCACCTGCTGCCTACATTCTCTCTCTCTCACACACAGACACAATTTTCTCTCTCTTCTTATACTTCTATGTGCAGCATGCAGACACCATAACACATTAATGGACACATGCACATATACAATTGAACACGCACACCTACCTCTTCCCAGTTTAGTTTGTTCCACCTACAGCAAGCAATCTGACCTTGACTTGTTCTAATTCTGATTACTATGCAAACACACTTATCATCCAAACCCAAGCATAGGAAAGAACAGTTGGTCCTATTGAAAAATAATGATAGCAGTTTATTCAGGACAGAGATTAAAAGTTGTCTTTCTACTCCTCTCGTGAGACTGAATGGTACCAATGATTTCTCACAATAATTTATGGTGTTTACTCAGAACAGTTGTTGTGACAAGATTAAAGGCAGGATCTGTTTCTTTCATGAATGTGTTTGTTTCTTTTTTTTTTTTTCTTCATCCTGTCGCCATTAGCGGTGAAATATTTGTATGTTTGCTCCTCCATGCTGCGAATGTAAAATCGTGCGTTTTCATGTAAGGACGTCCCCCAAAGTCGAGACATTTTGACATCCCTCGGTTTTCTAAAAAGGGAGCTGTGCTAAATTTAGTTTCTCTGAACCAGGCTTGCGTTAGGTGGTTGGGGAATAAACAGAACTAGATTTAATGTTTTTGCTTGTACTAATACAAAAGTGTGTCTATCTTGTCTTGTCTGTGTCCTCAGATGTTGCAGGAGGTAGTAGCTAAAACGCTCAAACACCATGGGATCACTGCTGAGCATGATTGCTTTGAGGCTTGCAGCAAAAGACTGTTTGATATCTCGAAATTTTATCTCAAGGTTTGTCTTTTTACTGCCCTCTCAGAGTCAGTGTTGTGCTTTTGTTTGACACTTTCTTTATTTGTATTACTCTATGATTCCAGGACTTGTGTTTTGTTTTGTATCCTTCTGTATACTTCTTACTATGCCAGCAACTGGAACCTTTAAAAAAAGCCTTTTTTCCTCACTACTCACTTTTTAATTTTTTTGTGCTTCCTTGTGTTTCTTAATCATCTGCTTTTGTTTCATAGTGTATTCAGATCCTTTACTTAAATAGCTATAAATCGATGTTAATTTCAAGATTTTCCGCCTTTTTGTAAGACACTACAGGGAACCTAAGTTTACAGTGCTGTGTAAAAGTCTCGAGCTGCCAGTTTTTCTTAAAGCAATAATTCTCCAGGCTTTCAAAGGTTTTCTTTGGCCATTTGGCTGCTTTTTCACTCACTTTCAGTCCAGTGCTTTCTGATGATTTTCAGAGGAATGTTTTTTGTTTGTTAAGCCACTTCACACTGAATAGGTCAGTCAGTCATTTAAGCGTTAAAGAAAATCCCCTGACTTGATGGATGAACAAGTGTTGTCTACACATAACAGAACACTTGACAAAGAATCAATTTTAAATTGTATTTTTAAATACTTTGTTACTAGCAGCCTGTCACAAACACGTAATGTGTTCCCATTTCTTTACTTGAATCTAAAAAAAGAGCAAAATGCCAAAGAGAGCACAGTTTGACAGGCATAAAATATTATTTTTGCAGTAACAAGCTGATTCCTAAAGAGCTATTGGCTGAAAATATGGCATATCTCGACATGTCTTACTGTCCTTTAAAAAACCTGAGGAAACTTAGCAAGTGGAGTACAAAAGAAGAGACCTAAAAACAGGTTCTCCAAGACATCTCATTAAGAAACAGGAAGCGAATCCAGCAAAGACCTAACAGATGCATCTGGCCTTTCAGTTGATCCATCTACTGTTCACTGAAGCCTCATCAGAAATGGTCTCAGTGGAAGGCTGCCTGTCGAGAAAGCCATTCATAACAAAGGGAGAAAAGGCTGAGGTGTTCCAAATCACACAAGAACTGGACTAGAAATCAGTGGCAACAGGTTTTACGGAGTGAAGAATCCAAACTAGACATTTTGGGTCAATTCGTCTACAAATATGTACAGAGGAGGTCAGGAGAGAGATCCAAAAGTGAGTGTTTACAGCACAGAGAAAGCTCTGTCATGGTTTGAGGCTACATTTCAGCCAGTGGTGTTGGAGATCTTGTCAAAATTAATGGTATTATGACCTCAGAAAAATACAGCTTTTAATCCACCAGCTGGAAATGATCTGATACTGGGCTTTGTTGATGCTTGTTCCCAGGATCTGAAGACATCTCGGGGTCTGCATGATGAGATGAGGAAGGCAGCAAGTAGCAATGTTAAGCAGGTAATGCTGCAAACATTAGCGTCTCTCTGGTTTACTTCTTCAAGTCACACATTTATAATCACATTTTTCTGTTGCAGGTCATTGATTGGGTATTGGAGAAGACCTCAAAACAATAAAGATGATAACAAATCAGGTTGGTTAGAGAAATTTGGCTCAAAAAGTCAATTTTCTGTGGTGTCTTTGTTTTTTTTTTTAAACATTCATGACAACATTTGGACTTTCTAAGCCTTTCTAAATTGGTTCTCTAATTGTTACATTAAGTCTGTTTTAATCAACTTAATCCTTTATTTAATTTGGTTTTCCTTCATTTTTCAGGATCCCCTGTAGCAGCCTGTCGTTTTAAGCTTTTGTTTGTGCCTGGTTTTGTGCTCATCCACCCTCATATACTCCTGCTGCTCCAGAGCCAAGAACAGAAAAACACTCATATCTACATACACATAGACTCTGCTCCTCCTGCGTTTGCCGAGAAGCCCCAAGGGCTTTGGATGCTTCAGGATGAAGATGTCTTTTCTCTGTAGCAGTTTTCTAACCCCCACTACTTATTTTATTCTAAATTACAGTTGTTGTTAGGTTGTTAATTTGCCTTTATGAATGTACAGATTTTTTTGTTTTGTATTTTCCTGTTTATCACAATAAATGCATTTGATTGTCATTTGGGGGCACTTTAACCCCCAGGAAAGACACTGTGTCTGTGTGAAAACTATACAATAAGCTTTGCAGTTGCTGTTGTCTTCCAAAAAAAGATGATGATGTCCCATTCTGGATGGATGAAAACAAAGCCAACAGCAGTGCAGCAAAATATGCTTTGCTAATTATAACTGACAGTCCAGCTTGTCGTAGTTTGGTTTGATTTAAAACACATCAGGAACTTACTGCTACAATTTCACCATCCTTATAAAGAAAACTACTCACAGCCAGCTTTTCACAACTGGTACCACAATTACTTTTTTTTCCCCCCAAAGAGAAGCTGACCGCAGGTTTCTGATTCCCAAATTAACATGCAAAGCAGCTTTTTCTGTGATGATTTTTGTCTGGGTATTACTTTATCTGGTGGAACAAGATGACTATACACTGTTTTATTACTGTGCACGAGAAGCAGACTCCTGCTAGGCCAAATATGGTGTGGAAGGCTCATGTACTGTTACAGAAATAATTTGATCAAGTTGTTTGGACTCAGAGGCACTCTGGTGAAAAGCAAATAGCATATCAGTACCAAATCCTCATGATTTGGGCTAGTTTTGGAGCCAAAGGACCTGAGCACTTTGCAGTTATTGAGTCGACCAAGATATCAGATGGGGTCATGCAACAGGACAATGTTATAACAGAATGGCTGAAAGAGAAAAATCAAGGTGTCGCAATGATCCAAACATCAATGAACTAAATTATCGATATAAAGAAGATAATTTTGTTCAAAATTCTTCCACAGTGATCTGAAAAATCACTTTCTGTACAATAAAGTCATACAGAAAGTGATTACTTCAAGCTATTGCTGCTGGAGGTGGTTCTACAAGCTACAGATTTATGAGTTATTTGCAGTCCTTTAAAGATTTCTTTTTCAGGACTCTACATTTTTCCCGTTTTAACTGACCCACAATCAACAGCCTGGAAGACTGGTTGAAAATGACAGTACTGTGAGAAACAGTTGCAAGCCTGAGACAATGCTATCATTGCCATAATTCAGCAGAAAAATGTAGTCAAGTAGCACTTATTTCAGCACCACCTGGTACCCTATCAACATCAGTGCACTGAGTTTCATATCAATGAGATATGCTGTGCATAGATATGTGTTTGTGGGAATAGAATGAGTGTGGGACCATCAGTATGTATGAGTACATGTAGATGATAGATTTGTATTATCTACATGTACTAGTTGTGCATGGATCAAGAAAAAAAAAGATAACAGTTTACGCCATCCCTCGTACATTTGCGTCACACAAGCTGTGTGGAGGAAAAATGACCAGAAAAGGAAAATACTTTGTAGCTGTGCAGAGAACGAGGCACTAAATACTGACTCTTATCGTTAGTCCTTGGGATTAAGTGATAAGGGAAGCTTAGCTTAAACTCCCAGTATGAAGACCGAAACCTGTTCTCTTGTATATATTTATGCCACAAGATGATGTCAGATATTTTTCAAAGAGGACAGAAACAAAACTGAATTTCTCTGAAGCAAAAGCTCTGCTGCCAGATATTATATCTACAAAATCTAATGTAATGCTGTGGCCTTGGTTTTGATTTTGGGACTATAAATGATTTACAGGTTTGTTCTGTGGGAACATTAAATGAGTGCAGCAAAGATTAGATGAGTTGGCCATCTGTTGTTGCAACATATAAAATAAATATTTTTAATGGCCATGGGATGTTCTTGTTCCAGGAACTTCAAAATGAAAGTAAAGAAGAAAGATGTGAAAAAATAGGCTGAAGCAGATTTATAAAAAAAAAAAAAGAGGGATGAGAGGTCTGCTGGCTTCTAAATGGTGTAATATTAAAATAACCTGCAGTGTAAATTATTTCGGCCCTCCACTGTTAATGTGCGAGTGAAATGTTGCAGATTATGAGCTAAAGCTGACCCAACGTACTACACCAATTTCCTAGTAGGCAAGTCTATGATAATCCATCTTTTCAACAATATAATCAGCACAAAAGACTTTACCTTCCCTTGCTTTTTTAAATGAAAAAATATCCTGTGATGAATGTGTAAGTGACCATAGCTTGCTGTAAAGAATGTTTTTTCCAGTGATTCAGTAGCTTGTAGGCTCACCTTTATCAGCAATAACTTGATAAACTCGTACAGGAAATAATTTTTATCGCTCACAGTTCATTGAGGTTTGCAAGCATTTGTTTATGCACAGCTCGCTGAAGGTCACGCCGCAGCATTTCAGTCGGGTTGATGTCTGGACTTTGACTGGCCAGTGCAACAACTTGATTCATTCTTGCTTTTGTCTTTCGCAT